TTCTGTTTCAGCCAAACCAGGACAACATCCCATAACAACTCTTGCACATTCCCACAGTCCCCTTAAAAGACCCCATACGAGGGTGTACAATGTCCCCAAATGTTTTTCCCCCTTCAGTCCCACGTCCCTGCAGGTGCTGACCCCACCACCCACTGCCCGTCCCAGCCCTCCGGGGCAGTGGGAAACCCTGCAGAAGGTCTCCATACCCAGGAGGAGGAGGAGGAGGAGAGCCTTGCCGTCAATGGTCACATCAGAATTACAGCTGCATCTGAGAGCAGATTTGTTGCAGGTTGACAGAAATCGTTTGTGACAAGAGAATCAAGTGCAGAGAAATAATTTCTACATTGAAAACACCTCTCCCATGTAGGGTCACAGAATGGCTAAATTCTGAAATATTTAACTAAATGCAACTGGCAGCAACTACCAGAGTACTTGTCCTCAAGGAACTGCTGACATTTGCAATGAAGTCACTGCGAAAAACCAGTCAAAATAAGGCCTGGAGCAAACCTAGTATCAAGGAAAAATCATTACATATTTGTAAAACACAAGTGATGCCCAAAACCTTTAGACCCTCTGTGGCAACCATGTCCTAACAGAAATACTCAACACCTTTAACCAAAGAGTCTTCCCCTTTGGACAGCAGCAATTCAATTAGTTTAGCTTGACAGTGGCCTCAATACAGAGATGTTGGTAACTAATCTTGAGAGTAAGTGAACTCATGCAAGCACTTCCGTGAATGAGAGAGCTGGCTCGCTTCCCTTGATGTTTATGTAGGGCTCTGCTTAGCCGGCAGACATCATGCTCCACCGCCTCTTGCACTTGGCAGGAGCGAAGGACTGTTCCAAAGGGAAGTGGCCTTGCACAGATGCCAAAGACAAAGCTCAGTGCGGCCACTTGCTCGGCCTCTTGCCGCATCAGCCCTTGGTGAGGGAAAAGCCCACAGTGTGGCCGGTGCCTTGGGTCCTCCTCTGGATGATTCCTCAAAACACTGCAAGTGCATGAGGTTGTCTAAGGGTATCACTGCGACTATCTCCTTATGCGTATTCAGGTATTTTGGACTCAGGATATGGGGAGATGTTAATTACTGAGGGAAAACATGTATCATAGTCTCTGCTCCTAATGCAGAAGGTTATTGGAATAACCTGAAGATTGGGTGTATGCAGCAGCACCATTGTCTGGATCCCACCCATGCAGCACCCCACCCTGTGCTGGGCGCTGTGCAACGGCAGCAACCACCAGCCTGTACCAGCAAACCAGGATATTTAGAGGAAAAGACTAGGGGTGTGAAACAGGGAGCGGAGGAGGCAAACAAGTTTGCCAAATGTCATACAGCAGATCAGGAGCAGAACTGGAAATGAGATGTCAGCCACCATGTCCTGGAGCCACCTATGTCCCTGGAGCAAGAAAGGAGCTGGACCAGCAGGTATTAACACGAATCTGGTGATTTGGAGGCATGGATAGAGGGTCACCTTCAGTTTAAAGGTCATGCTTTAGCCCTAGGACCTATAATCTATTTTACTTGAACTCTACAAACTAGTTTAAGCAGACAATAGATGGGACATGTCTTCTTGCTTCCTGAATTGGGCTGTGCTGGAGACACAAAGCTTGCAGGGACGAAGCAATAGCATTTATGAGACCGATGGAGAAAAATGGAAAAGTCCACAAAAAACCCAAACGATGACATTTCAGGCACATAAGCCCTTTACCAGGGCTAAAAGAAAGGCAAAAACTTTCAATGCAGGTTGAGAACAAATTGCTTTAAATCTACATTATATTAACCTCTGAAATTACCTGAAAGGAATGATGGTTAGTACTTGTGAAAGAGAGGCAGGCTGCTCATTAGCGATGAGCTCATGGTCCCCTGTGGGACAGAAAGTCCAAGTGAGAGAGGTGATTTGTCAGTTTGCTTCATCTTGTGCACTTGATAGGAGTAAATGAGGAGTCTTTACCACTGTTTCTTCCCCAAGTCAGTCATTTTTTTATTCTATGATTTTTCTGTGACATTTTGCTACACCAGGAAAAAAAAAATAATTTGGAAAGATCTCATTTACCATTTGTCACTAATGCTTGGGGATGTCCTCCAACGGAGCCCCCAGGTGAAGGAGGCTGGGGAAGACGTGGTGTCCTGCGGTGTGCAGGACCTCACCAGGGACACCAACACTTGGGGCACCCAGCTGGAGCCAGGGCAGAAGGGGGAGGCTCAGCCCTCACGGCCACCCTTACCCCAACGCCTTCTCCCAAGCCATCAGCAGAGCCATAAAAAAAGTTACAAAACTTTCTTTTTAATATTCCCTGGACCCCAGATCCCCTCCCAGCCTGCCGGGGTGCCCAGGGGAAGAGAGCAGCAGGGACACCCGTACATTAAATATTGGCTTCCCAACAATAACATACCTAAAGATGCTTACTGCAGTCTTCCGAGTCGCATCTGACACTCTGAAAAGGTTCAGCATCACCCATAACAGCATTTAATTCCTTCAGTGACGAGGTGCAGACGATGATCTTCTCCATTAGCACCCTTTCTTGTGCTTGTCACAGAACATGCCTCGTGCAGCAGCGGGGTGTATGTCTTATAAGACAGAAGTGCATTTTAAATTGTACTTGGTCTACATCCAGCTTGTTCACCATATGCTAAAAGCTGGAAGCACTCTAGCATGAGCTACAGCTCGAAAGCAGACACATAATTTGTTTCACATCAAAGCACTCTTGGATATACCTTTACTTCAGACTAGCAGAGATAAATGACTTGCTGGAAGATGCCATTTGTAGGACACAACATTTATATTGCAGAGACTAGAGATTTTTCTAAAGCTTTATTATTGTTGCAATGAATCAGCATTTGCTACTTGATGTAATTTTGGCAGCACGGCAATACGCCTTTTACTGTTTTGAAAAGAAATGCAGAGTAGCTGTTTTATTTCAAAATAGCGTCTTTTTTTGTTGTTTTAAAGGAAGTGCGTATGTAGGGCTGTGAGATGGCAGGTCTCAAATTACATACAAAGGACCTTCGGAAGGTGACTATTACAGATCAGATTCCGCATATTGCCATTTTTATTAAAATAGTTGAAAATGAAAAAGATGAAAAAGAACAAATTGCAGTGAAGTCTTTGAGCCTGCACACAATTATACATGCTGGCATAGTTCTAAGTCCATGATGGTTTATTGCTTTATGTGGGTCTCCACAAATGCAGCTCTGCTGACAAATACAACATTCCCAGGATTAGAGCCCAAAATAACAACCCTCCTATTCTATATTTTCAAGTAAGGATATTTCTAACTGTTAACAGACATCCCCTCCGTCCTCCAAATCTGCTGGAGAGTTTCCGTTCTGATACAGAGCTAAAAACCTTTTATGCTGGTAATACTTGGAAACGGCTTAGTGCACTAGACAGTGTTTACATTTTTCAGAAATGCATCGTGACTTAGGAGCATAAGCACCTTTACAAGAGTGTAGGTAAGCAGAATAGGATCTGAAACTCCAATACTGGCCAGTATTACCTGCAGTGGGGGAGGGCTTTCGAAAACGGAAAGCTAATGAATGAATCAACGCAATTTCAGAAGCATGGTATGCATGCACACATGCCCAGATGTGTTTAGCGTAGCCCTGCTGTTCCTACTTGCTTTCTCTGTAACCCTGCTAATATTAAAGAAGAAATCTTGCTCTCATTCAGTGTCTTGTTCTCCTCCTTTCTCTGCTCCCAACCCTAATATTACTACCCAAAAAGGTCCCTCCGCACCCCCATATTGTTAACTGCATCCCATTAGCTAAAAACACCCTTGTTTCTCCAGAGGAAGAGTAAAAGGGTAGGAACTTGTCTTCGAATATTAGTAAAATTTACAAAAGTCAACAGGATGACAAAGCAGAGGAAAAATGCTGCAGTCCTTCCTCACACAAGATTTGCAGTGGCATAACTGGGACTTTTGCTTCAGCAATAGCTTGTAGAACTGATACCTAAAAAAAATTACACAGAATATAAATTGAATTTATGACATAACAAATAATATTTAATATATAGCATTGAATGCATACATATCAATACCAGTGCTGTAACAACAAAACAGAACTCGTAAAATTAGCAGCAGTTTTTTGCAAGTACAAAAATACACATTTTTTTCAGAACATATATAATAGCAAAATTTATCAGGATATATTATACAAACTCAAAGCATTTAGATAACGCATTATTTTTAATATATTATACGATGTTTTAGATGCTGCATAATAAAATTACATGTGTTCTGCTTGCAATAATACATAATGCCATTTACAGCAATGTTAAGAAACTATTCACAACTTAAACACGAACAGAACAGCCAACGAAGCACAATAAATGAAACACACAGAGTTGCAAGGTGTTAACTACAAGCTTCAGCGTTTCTCTTTACATACTTTTAGGCTTATTTTTTTCTTTCTTTTGCAGTGTGAAAGAAATAGCTACACCTACTGAACATACCTTATAAACATACAGAAAACAATACACTTATTCCTTGGAGGACAATGAAGGTAATACCTATCAAGTTTCAGAACAGTAGTATAATACCACAGTTATAGAAGCTATGCTGACTTTGCACGCTACATCAAAACCACAAAGGACTGGGACTGACATCCACAAGGCTCAACACACGGGTGGTCGAGGGGAGAGGCCCAGCAGGAACCCCACTGCCCTGGCAGGCTCAGAGAACAGGGCACTGCTCTTAGTTACCTCCTGGGACCCTTCCAGATTTTCGGGAGATTTCTGTTTGCTTGCTTTTTTAGCAATTTTTATTATTCTTACAATGTTCTTGCAAAGCTTTATGTGGGAACATTACTCAGTTTCCTAAAAATAGAAAACCTGTGAATCTAGGGACTGCTCAATTAAATTTGAACAACCTGTATATTAAACTTAAAATGAACACACATTAACACCGAAGGCATTTTCTTTATGGTGTTTATTTTAAGCGTTAAGATTCCTCTGCAAAAAAGCTTTGGTCAGTCTCTTCAAACTTTGGATTGCTGTAATGCTCTTCTAGACCTCCTCTTTGATCTTGGATCATGAAGTCTGTCTCTTCCTGTGACTTTCAGAGGTAATGGCTGAATGTCAGGCTTAATCAAATAGCCGTCAACTCTGTCAGTAGGTTTCTGGGGCGCTGGCCTGCTGTTGGACTCCACCAAGGCCCCCTCAGCCAAAGCATCAGTAGGTTGCGGAGATGGTGGCACCTTGGTAGGTGTAACCAAATAGTCATCAGCCGCTTCAGTGGCAGTGTCTTCGTGTTTCTTTAGCGACTGAAAAGTGCTATCAAAAGGGGAGGAGGTTTCAGTTGGGGTAAACACAGATTGGTCTGAAAACTGAGAGAAAGCACTGTCCAAAGAGCTCATTGACGAGACAGACGGAGATGTCCCAGGAGAAGACAGGCTAGAAGAGCTAAATCCTGAGCAAATATTTAACCCTTCTGGCATTGGAGGCAGGAGGCAATGGGACAAGTCTTTCTTTTCAACGTTTTGGTTTGTGTTGTCATTTTTACCAATGTTAATCCCTATAATCAAGCTCTGATTGATAAGCTTTTGCCCTTCCATCTGCAGTGACCGAAGCTGACGGACATAGTCTTCATCTTCATGAGACAAAACAACGTCACAGCTGGCTTTGCGTGCTGCCTTCTCATGACCATCGCCAATACAGGCAAAGCTGGGGGCAAGGAGGCCGATGGCGGGCTCTGAGGAGCGCCTGTGTCTCCTCAAGGATTTGAGAGCCCCTGAGGTAGCTGCTGAAGACAAGCCCAGTGCACTGGAGCGGAGAGACTCATTCTCTGAGTTTTCTTGCGATGAAAACTTATGGTGTACGTCAACAGAAATTGTCAACTGTTTCAATTTGGTTTTCCTTTGGATATCATCTACCTCTGTCTGCTCTGAATCACCGTCGCTCAGAGTGAAGACAGACTCCCTGCTCCTGTTATCCTGATCGCGGTTCTTAATCCAGTCACTAGAAGAAGAGTCAGCTTCATCGTTCGCCTCGTTTTCCAGGCTGTCGTAGGAAGAGTCATTCAGATGGAGAGAAGTAGCATCTGCAAGGACAAACCAAGTGTTAACACATCAGTGACTGAACCACCCTGCTGAGAAGCAGCTGCCTTTTTTTTTTTTTTTTGGCAAGTATCCTTTACTTTCAGGAGCATTTGCCTTTTAAAGATTCTTCAAGCAGAAATGCCAATAATTTCAGAAAAAATTACTGTCTAATTTTGAAATGGAAAAACTGAAGTGAGTGCTAAGTTGCAGTTCAGTCAAGAAAAAGGACAATGGCACAAACAAAGGTCAAACAAAGGGTTTTTCTGGTTGTTTTGTTTTTTTTTTTTTTAAGTGGGGAACTTTAGTAGTAGGTAATCCAGCTGTAAACAGTAATTTACATACAGTATATCGAATCAGTAATTTATTTAATTTTTTTTTGTTATTGAATATTGAAAGCAACATTTAACCTTTCTTTCCTTCTTTTAGACAAATGTCTTTTAGACATACCTCATACTTTTATGGTCTTCCAGAAAACACAATATTTTTAAGAATAACACTATGAAGAAAGCTCTAGTCTCAGTTTAAACAGTCACCTCATTTCCACTGAGCAGTGCACACCTGGGCCCTGTTCCATACATGTGCTAATTGGAATTACATTAAATCTCTTTTGCTCTGGGCTAAGCTAAGCTGACTTATCTCACATTTGCAGCAGGCAGAGCTCACGCACGGGCAGTCACCATGCCTCACTGCGCGCCTGAAAACTTGTTCAGCTGCCACAGCCTACCGTGGGTCTGAGCCCTCAGTCCCAGCACATCCCAGCACAGCAGATCCCATGTGCTTCCACTCTTGGGGAGGGAGCGGGCCAAATTTCACTGGATTTCACCGAATTTCACTGGAGGCAGAGCATGAGGAGTTTGGTTCAGCGACACTGAGTCAGTCTGGCATACCGGAGCAAGTGCCATTAACACTTAGTACAGGCCAGCTGTGCCAGAATTTGTTTTACAGAGCTGCTGCTTTAGAAATATTTTTAAGGAGAGGCCCAAAACTCCAGTCAAAATTGATACTATCCCAGAGCTGGAGAGAAAAAGAGCATTTAATGATATTCTGGAATGCTCTGCCAAGTAGTCTGTCAGACATTTTCAGTCACCAGTTCCACAATTTTCCTGTGCTAGCAGCAAAATCTGGATGCCCCATTGAAACTCTGGAGATCTCTCTCTTTTGATAATGAAGAATAGATGCTTTCAACCCTAATATAATGGTGTGACAGCTGTATTACAACCCCTGTTGATCACTGAATTCCCGATATTCTGGGAAAACATAGGATGGGGTAAAAAGTCTAGACTTGAGAGGAAACCTTCTCCAGATTTTTTTCTTTCTTTTTCTTTGTTTCCCTTCCCTCCTTTTTTTTTAACATAGTCGTTCAGATGACTGGAATAGGAGCAAGGGATTCTTTGGGAAAGCATTTTGTGATACGGTCCAGGTCTATGATAAGTTGAATCAGTGATTATCATCAATAGTTTGGACAAAGGAAAGAGAACAGCAGTATCTGGGAACACCACATGAAGAGGGAACAGCATTCTCACATGGAATATACCCATCTTCTGGCTGGCTGAGTTTAGCTGTCTCACAGGATCAAAACATCATCTGTATTACCTGAGCTGTTCTCTCTCTTACATGTCATCAGTACTTCTCCAAAGAGGGAGTTAATTTCCTCTCCAAAAATCCTGCAGCAATTCTCAGTGAGGAACTGTACCAGATTAGAAATCTGCGACAAAGCAATGGGAGAGAGATGTCTTGTCAGATCTTCCATTATTCCACTGAGGGCAAGCTCGCCATACAGATGAGGAACAGGAGCAAACTGCCCATCCATGATGTGTCCCCCTGACAACCAGGAACTCCCCTCCTGCTCTCCTGGGCCTGAGGAAAACAGCCAGGCCCAGCTAAAATGTCCCAGTATATATCCTTGTATGCATCTTCTCCATTTCTACTCTGTCCTGTTCCAAGGTCACCATAACCAGAGATCTTTTTGATGAGAGAAGCTCTTTGCTAATACACTGCTTTATGATCTCCCTCCCCTTCTTCCAGAGAGATTATGAGAACGGATTGATGAATGTTTCTGGAGCCCTACTAAGAGGACCAGTCCTGATCTGAAGAGGTACTGTTGAAAACGCAACAGCCTGGTTGAACAGGATGAAGGGTGGTTTGGTTTTTTTACTGCACTGCAGTGACTCTTACCTTTTTTGTAAATTCACTTTCCGTATCAGGAGTGGAGGCAACAGGAGGCCAGAGCAGGCTAGGTGCAATGCAGATAGCCAGATTAAATGCATTCATCTGATTCTCTTCAGATCGCATTTCTATACCATGCAGTACTCCAAAGATGTAACGTAAGAGAACAACATTAGCTCTCGGGAGCTGCTCTATTAACCTGAAAACATATACAAACGTAATTCTTTAGATTAGTGACTGGACAATAGAAAACAATTTTCCACAGATACACACAAATCAAGATAATGAAAATACAGAAACAGGGTAACATGATCCACTAATTAAACCAGGGAGTGTGTTAAAGAAGTGTTCTTGCTTGGCTGCTTTCCCTCACTGTGCCACATCTCTGAACAGTTTTCTGGGAGAACAGAAAACACCCTAACACATAATTAAAATTACACTCTGTCAAAGTAATGAACCAAGTACAATGTGTGACATGAAACTGTGTTTCACCTAAGTTGCCTGATAATTCACTAGTCACTTAACCAAACAGTCCAGTTGTCTTTCCATGCCATCTGGTTGCCATAAGTGCACATGTAAGTGCACGTGAGGTCAGCTAGTGACCAAAGCTCAGCCTCCCATGACATAAACTTTATGCACTTTCTGTTTTATATCACCTGCAAGGTGGAGGCTTCCCTTGTCATTATGCTCTAGTATTTCATTCACAATTCCATCTTGGCTTCAAAATGGTCACTAAAATTTGAGATGAATGAGGGGGAATATATGCAGAACTGATTTCAGCTACCCTTTCATCCAGGACCCCGAAGTTCCCTGAGGATGATTTTGGATTTGGTATCAGGCAGAAATCCAGGTCTCAGCGTATTTATAAATACTATAATTTTTTTTTCACGAAAGGATATTCTACTTAATTACTGGTATCCACAAAAGGCAGAAAAATAGGACAAAAGACAGTCAGAAAATTGTCCCATACACGCAATCTCTTAAGTTTATATGTAAGTTTGAATGCTCTGTCATATACAAAGGTATTTTTAGCATCTCTTTAAAAAAAATTAATTGTAGGTTGTAAATTGAATATTTGGGATTCTGCATTCTGGGATATAAATTTATAAGAAAAGAATACAGAGAATATAAGTAACTCTACCTTTGGATGCTTTTTATCTTCTCTTCATTATTTCCTTGATCCATCACAGAAACCCACTTATCACAGAGCTGGGATGACAAAATGCTGCCTGGGATGTTGCGAAGAAAATCCTTATCAAGAGAAAAGAAGAACGAAACATGTGAACAGCTGTCCTGGAGCGTGGGAGGGAGCAGGAATAAGATATGCAGATACAAGAGGATGTATCAGTGGAACAGCACTAGCTGACAAGCATCTTGTTCCACACAGCAACCAAACCCAGCAGAAAATCACATAAGATAAAGAAGTAATTCAGATTGTGGTTAAAGTGAATATATTCCTGCCCTTTCCTCACCCTTTCCTGCCAAAATAGAGGTATTTGGATGCTTCATCTGCTATTGCTGAACTAAAAGATCTGCAGTGGGACCAGTTATTTTGATGCTGCATAATGTCTGTCTTTACTTATCACTTAACTTCATCTGTAGTCCCCGTTTCTTCTCCTTAGCTGACAAGTTCCAATACCTCCAGACCATAAACACTCCAGGGCACCCCCACCTTCCTTCCCCTGATCAATCCCTTTTGGTGATGGAGTACTTACACCAGTCATGGATAGTCTTGCTGCTCCTGTTTCCTAATATCACAACCACTGGCAGGCAAACTGTTGCAACTTGGGAAGAAGCCCAAATCCTAGCTTCTCAAACAAGCTAGGGTAAGGCAAGCTATGATGCACATGAATAACACATTTGCTTTTATGTGGTAACTCTTCACTGTTATAAATGGTAAGCAATCACCCCTCAGTGAAACGGTTACCATGGGATGAATATTGCACACCAGCACTTGGCATGGCGCAGCTGACCTGCCCTAAATGCATGTCCTAAATCCACGTGTAAATCTTACCCATGAAAACCTCTCACATGGTAGCAAGAGGAATGGCTTTCTGCAATAAAAATACTACACTGAAGCAGTGCTTGCTTGAGAACGGAGATTTAAGCAAAAACTATGCATAAACAGATGCACAGTACTAAAATCTGAAAAGAAATAGGCCAATCCACCTGTAGCTGAAATTTTACAGAAGGCTTGGAATGCTTTTTGCACAAGGAACATTGTTTTTAACGTACAAGTCTGTAAGAGTTGGACACGGTTGGACTTGATGAAACAGTGGGACTCAATGATCTTAAAGGTCTTTTCCAACCTAAACAATTCTATGATTCTATAAGAAAAGATAATGCATGGCAAAATCAATCCAAACATTTTGGGAAACACTATACACTCGCTAGCATCTGCAGTGTAGGGTATTACTGATGAATAAGGAAACAGGTTTGCAAACCTGCCTTTCTAGTGTTTCATTGACTTTACGCAGAGATAGGGAGAGTAACAGGACCAGGTTGTAGCTGAGACCTCAGGAAAGCTGGCAGCAGAACAAGCTGGCTAGTCCTCTTCCCCGTCCTAATTCAGTGGTAGGCTCCTTTGGAGATCCCCATGAGCCAGCCCATTCTTAACTCAGCCCACCAAGTCTTCTTTGGGCCTGTCCCTGGGGAAAAGTCCTACTTGTTTGTGCCCAGGATCTGCACTGCTCTAACCCAAAAAGGGGGAAAGGAATATTCTTCATATACCTTAAACAAAGATGCTGTCACAAATATGGATTCACAGGCTAGGTCCACTTCAGCGCCTGAATCAAGCTTCTCCTTGAGCTCTTTGCAGGTTTTTGCACTTCCAGAGCGTCTGAAAATACCCTCAGTGGAAGGGCCCTCTTGGTAAAGGAGGGAAAGCATGTCCTAAACAAAATTAAAAGGAAGAGAGGCTTTCTCAGAAATATATTTTATTGTCTAGTGCCATTAAAATGTAGATTTGCCACTTTTGCCACAGATGAAAAACTCTAAGTCCTAAAAAGGCTCACAAATCAAACACAAGTCAAGGCTCACCCTCCAAACCATGCCAAACTGCACAGCAAAGCTGTGGTCTGGGACACTGATTTTGGAAAACATCCCCTCACAAATACTGTGCTGTCATTGCTGAGCACTAACCTCCTGCATGATCTTCCAGGATCTGGGCAAGCGTTAGCTAAAAGTCATTTAAATATATAAACACTGTGGTACGGGAAAAGGAGAGTCGTCTACCTAATCCAAAGCTCTGCATCTGACAGTGCCCTCAGCCAGACCCCACTCTGCAGGAAGATGTGAGACCCTCACTGCTCGTCAGTACGTTCAATGTTATCACCAACCAAAGACAAAGATTTCTGTTCCATGCCTGATGTCTGGAAAAAATGAGATCTTATCTAAGCTGGAAATGCTTTGTTTGTTAATATCTATCTGCACTTCTACATCAGATCAGGGTTAGATTTTTACCCTTCTTGCCTCTTGTCAGTGCAGTCGTTCTCTGGAAGCAGCTCAGGGCTGTTAGCGAGACCAGCGCTGGGGCATGGTGCTCCCGCCTGGGAGGTCACCCAGAGCAGGCTAAAGCTTGGCTTGTGGCTCCTCTGAAGCCAATGAGGCTGCAAAGGAGTAAACAGCTAGGCAGCTCACCACATTAGATACTCAAAAGGAAAGCGAAAACAAGCAGATTCCTGCCTAGCTTTTAAAATAACAGGAGAGCCTGATTCATTCTGCTAAATCCGAGAGGCGAACAGCAGAAAAGGAAATGCTGAAATCAGAGACCTCTCCTGAGGTAATATGTACATGATATTTTCCAGCTGCTTAATTCTCTGCGGTCTCCTTTGGGTCATCTCTCAGACATGCTGGTCATCTCTCCCCAGGCCTGCTCCAAGCAACGTGGAATTTGTCATGTTTGTCTCTTCCAAGGGGGAAACGCGTGCAGACAGTCTCTGGAATTACGTGCATGCTCACGGTGCTCTGAGGACCAAGTTATCAAAGGAGATGGCAAGAAAAGGGACACTGGGGGAGAGTCTCATCACTAAACTGAGTTCCTGTAACTGTAATGGCTAAGCAGTGGGGTTTGGTGACTTTCCTAGTCTGGGCCGTAAGGTAGGTCTTCCTAATACACAGCACTGCAAGTAAGTCTAATGGAAATAATAATTTTTACTTTTCCTCTTTAACATTTCTTTCTCGCTCTTGCAGAAGTTGAAAGTCAAGCATTCGCGTAAGTGCAGACACTTTGGAGGAGCACCTTCATGGCGGCAGGACTCACGTCAGCATTTCCATTTTCTTTGCAGGGATTTAGAGCTCTGCTGTTGAAACAGACTCAGTCCCACGGCACAGGATCTCAGTGCATGAACAAACGCTTTGAAAATATATTTTGAACAAAATATCCACAAGATAAAACTGGGAAGCCCCTCTTAAAGTAGTAAACCCAGACAAAATTACATGAATGAAGCTAATGGTGTAAGGCAATTCAGTGTGGCAATGGCTAAAAGAGAGTCCTTCAGCTGTGAAAGCAAGTTTGAAGCTCTGAAGCAGAGATCTCAAACATGCCTGCAGCATTCATCCCTGATATTTTCCTTCTCTTGCAGTTAAATCCCACACAGTCCCTCCAATGCAGTATTCCATTCTCCAGAGACGCTGCATGAAACTGAAAGTAAGTTATATTTTGTGGCATAAACACAGTGTTTAAGATTCAAAGCACAAAGTTTACCAAGCTGTGATTCTATGCTTAGTAACTTCATTTGTTTTCCGATAAAAATTTACTAATATTAAGGTTTTGGAGAAATTTCTGAAATGCAGCATTGGTTCATCTCTCAAACCGAGAGAATGAGGGACCAGGTTCTTAGAGAGTCCATCTCTGGAGGGCTTATTTAAATAACCTAAACAATAAAAATGCACAGCACTCCTTCAAAAGAAAAAAACCCAAACCCACACTATTAAAAGACCTGAAAAGTCCTGGTATGATTCACTATTCAGGCAGCACATCAAGCACAAGCTTAGGAGACAAACCATCTCTTCCTGCAAACTGATTTCAGTGGAGTTCTGGCAAACTGTCCCAGCCGAAAGTCAGGCTGTTAGGATGAGGAGCCCAATCCTGAAGGGCTCATACCCACTCTGTAAATGTTTTAACTGCTGCATTGACAACAGGGCATTCCTCAGTCCTGACCAAAAATGCCACACATCTGCCCTAATTATGCCTAGGAATGGGCTGTAGGACAACATTTTCCATGTTCCTGGACTAGTTTTGAGAGCACCCCCAACACTAGCGCTCCCTCGAGACAGGATGAAAAGATGCTCCTGCAACCTCTGCCTTCCCACCTATTTTTGCAATGGTGCTATCAGATCAAAAATGAGGACCCAGAGTGCTTGCCTGCCCCAGGATGTCTTCAAGAAAGGCTCTGAAACTTTCTACTTCAGGGCAGGTAGGATTTGTACGCATACATGGGCTGTCTGTATGGGACAGCATGTGCTACATTTATGGAGCTGGGGATTTTACAGAGAATCTTGGGAGTGGTTTAAAAAAATATGTGTGAATGTGGCATTTATTTACACTGTGTAAGTGAGGATTAGGGAACTAGCCTTATAGCATGGGCTATAAAGAAGAAATAACCCCAGAGCAGCAGACTGATCACATACATTTCTCAATCTGTTTGTTATTAACCAAGCCTGACCACAGCATATGTTAAAACCCAAAGTTCTTGCTGAGAACCACAAATGAGGTTTCCTTCTGGTTTCTCTGCTTGGGTAATTTCAGTGTCCCGTTTACAAAATGTCCCCATGTTCTCATTCATTCACTACACAAAGAAATTTCACCACTGCAAGAGACAGCCCTGAGCCTGGGACTCACCAGGAGGGGTTTGGGCAGGTTGTCGTCCTCACAGATGGCTGTTAGCAAGAGGCCAAAGAGCTTCCCAGGAGCAGCAGATGTTGAGGAGAGGGGTGCATTGTCCAAGTGAGTGCCTGGGCCACGCCAAAAAGCCCAATTTATGATAGATCTTTTCCTTTTAAATGACTTTTGGCTTAAGTCTGGCAAAAGAGAAAGGTGTTTATTAGAAGAAACGTGTTTCAATTCTAATTCCAGTATTTGTTTTGCAGTGGTTGCTATGGTTTCATGAGGTATCTAAAGAGCACCACTAATTGAAGCTCTTATTTGCAGTGCATAGAGAAGGAAATACTGATAATGGGATACAGAAAGGGTTTTTTTTCATGTGCCCTTTCTCAACATCAGCCAGTGCAAAGTCTTCTTAACAGCATGGGCTACCGCTAAGGGTGGGTTGAGACTGTTTATGATGAAAGTGCTAACTGAGAAAAACTTCTTCTTATATATTTTTCCTTTTCTAGATGTTTTCAAAGCCAGTCAGCTTTGATTTAGCTGCTTGCCTACCCTATGCACTTTTCTATTAGTTGGTTCTTCCATCTGATCAAACATTTTGCTTTCTGCTGTTGTGGAGGGCAGAGGGTAGAAGCAAGGCTTGCAAAATAAGGATTGTGGTATAATACCATATTTTTCTCTCCTATACTTTACTACACTTGTTTTTTGCCCAAATAGTGATTTTTGTTACGCATTATTCTGTTCTAGGAGATCATGCTCCCTTCGGGAATGGGTGGAAATCTTTTCATTAGAGGCTTACAGGATGAAAAGTTACAGTTGAACTCAAAATGTGAACATATGAATGCGAAAGCCTGATGAAAAATTCTTCTCATAAAAAATAATAAGGGCGATATACATTTTAAGCAGTCCAAAGCTACATGAAATACAAGCTTGGCAGTATATAAGGCTTTACTTGACACGCCGTGTTTTCAGAGAACGTAACTAACATGTAACTTTCAAAATGACTTTGTTTTCTTTCAGATGAGCTGGATATTAGCACATGAATATGGTCTGCTTCACTTGGAGTTCTATTCACACAACAGCAAATACATATTAGTGTTTTTTTCTGGAAACCCTGTCGATATCAGGGGAAGTAAAAATTAAGAAGAGATGCTATTTTGGAGAACAAGGAATAGCAGAAGTGGGAAAAAAAAAAAAAAAAAAGGTCTTAAAATTAGGAACTTAGTCTCTCGCTGTTTGCTCCACTCTTGAAAGCCGTGGCTCAAACTGACAATGTGAGGAAGGGGTAATGGTGATGAACTGCACCTCTCTCCTGGGAGAGGAAGGAAATCTTAATCAGCGTTGTTCAACATACCAGGGCAGAAACCAACAACTGATGTATGGCAACGAAATTCCATGCCACTTACAAAACTATCATTTACTGAACAACAGGAAAACTCGTTCTTTTCCTATCCCCTTTTCTAAGGGGGTTGAGAAGTCTTAAGGTAAAGAGCAGATGAGAAGTGGAGAATGTACATTTTCCTTTCTTGAACATGTGCAAACTTACAGCACTAGAAGCAGCACAGCCTCCTCTCAGCCAAGACAGATGCCAATATTGCTCTGCAGAAGTACTTCCATACAAAAATGAGGGCCTTGCTTTAGTGGATTATTCTAGGCCAGAATCAGAAAAAAAAGCAATACTTCTTTGGTTGCAGATCTTGCTCAGAGCTCACAGCAGCCATCTATTCTGCTCATACTTTACACACAGAGAATTTCTATTGCTAGGCAGTGTCCCAGCCATGCAAGTGGAATTTCCTCTTGCAAACTAATCAGAAATGTCTAAATAAAACCTCAGATCTATTTAACAACATAGCACCCTTTCTGACCAAACACCTAACTGTCAAATAATTTTCAAAGACCTCCTTTCTGTATTGAGACCAACTTGTTGAAATTTTGCTTTCTCTTTCAACAGACAATTAAATAATAATTTGAATTACAGACCAGCCACTGCCAGCAGTTGGTTCTTTCAAGCTAAACTTTAAGTAAATCAGTATTTATGATACTTTTTAGACATGTGCTCATGAGCATTACTTAGTGGCTGTGTTTAACTGGTAGGTGACCATTCCTGTTACATGCTGAAAGGCTGCAGGAGAGGCAACAGAAACACTCCAGTTCTTCCACACAGTAGGTTCTTGCGTACTTCTTTTAACTACCCTGCCAGGACAGCTGATGCAACTACAATCACCACAGTTGGTGTCCACACAGCTGCTTATTTGACATGATGGCCAGTTGTCAGTCATGTCTACTGGTCAACACCTACAACGCTGTCTAACCATGGTGTGTGCTGGTACAATGGGGCAACAACCCCTTGCTGCCTCCAGAAGGGACAGCGTGTCCAGGACAGCAGTACCGGTGCAGGGAAGTGATGGGAGGGAGGCTAGCACAGCATGTGTGGCACTGAAATGTGGGGTTACAGCCTCTGCTCCCTGTAAATTTGCCCTGTATGTTGGGGTGCGCCTACTGCTTACCTAACACCACCACAGATTTTGGCTTGCTAATCTGAAGATGAGCCCAAACCCAGATCATAGCACACAGGTACCCTTCACCATTTTCCAAAACTGAAATAGGTGAGGAGTTAGGAAGAGCACAAAGAACAGCACTGTATGCAAGATAATCTGGTTTGCGAGCAGCCAGACCTCTACCTCACTTTAAAAGGCTTTGTCTGATGAAAGTACAAAAGGTGAATGGACTAAAAGCCTCTTTCTCCCACTTAGCACAGTCTCTGTGCATTACTTGCAGGCTGCCCCAGGCTCCTGCTGCCCCAAAGCCAGCCTCGCCTCCCCTCCTGCGGCGTGCACGGCACCGCTGACAACACATCTGCATTAGAACTTTATAGGCCTGATTTGCATTTCTATTTTCTCTTGCCAGTCAACGTCAGCTGCCAAGTGGGGCCTGTAAACCTAATTACACTCCTTTGCTAGATTGCCTCATTCTTAAAATACGCCATGAAGTAATACATGATACAAATTACTGGGAAGGGGGGGATGAAGGCGTGTGGAAAGGAAATTAATTTATATAAAATGCAATCCATTTCCGGAATAATTTGTAACAGACACTAGTATAGCCTCACTAATTTCTAAAAACATTACAACTGGATTCTGTTCATGTATTGTGGGAGATCCTAGCTATTGGGGAGTGCACAGGACAACAGTGAGCATGTTATTTTTATTATTATACAGTCATTAATGGTGAAGTAGGGCAGAGTTCGTAACTGAGCTGAGTATGCCAGTGTGTGTTAAGCACAATAAAAACACACCATGGGATGCGTCCTTGCCCTACAGAGTTTTTAGTCTAATGCCCCAACTCTGTAAATACCTCCTGATTTGTTTTAGTCATGATCAGTGAGTGGTCATTAACAGCAGAGTGCAAAACAGAGAGCAAGTGCTCATATTTTTGCAGCATCCAGGCCCAAGGCAGAAGAAATTTTTACTGTCTTCATTTTACTGAAAAGGAATGGAAATAAAGAAGTTGTATTCACTCACTTCATCTAGGTACTCAAGTACATGCCTAGGCTTTGCTGCGTGAGGGTCCCAGTGAAGCAAGCCTGTAGTCTGAATTACCTTGTTCAGATAAAGGACGCGGACGCTGCCAAATGTTGCATGGGAATTCTGTGCTGCAGGCAAGCTCTGACTCCTGAACTGTAAACCCACTCTGCCTTGCTACAGAGCACCGCCAGGGCTGCAGAGAGAAGCTCAGCTCACAGATTTACAAAAAATTGCAGGGGAGAGATCTTGTCTGTCTTCTGCTGGTTTTAGAACACCCATTTGACAGGCAGCTTGTCAAAATGTAACGTACAAAGATGACACATACACAACAGCACACTCAAATCAGGGAGAGCTACATTGGAAAATCCCCCCGCGCAGCTGGAAGGTACCTCTGCCTTCTCCGCTTTCCACCACCACCCCACCCCAGTCCCGGCACCCCTGCTTTCTCCAGCAGAGCCAGGGAGGTAGCTGGGCTGGGGGTGACCGATGCCGGGCGAGCAGGAGGACGTACCGTTCAGCGGCTGGCAGAGGGCCAGGCGGCTGGGCTTCAGCACAAACTGGCACTGCAGCTCCTGGGGCAGCTGCTCCGCCAAGAAGGGGCCCTGAAGCTGCCTGGGACAGGCACAGTGCTTTGATCCATGCGGCATAGCGTCGCGAATGTGGCTCATTTTAATTCCGAAGGGATATTCGTGGCCTATTCAAAGAGAAATCATCATAATCTCGTGTTGGATTGACTAGAGACACACAAAACTCCATTCGTCTTGGAGGAAAAGCAGATTTTGCATGCTGGCCTGCAGCACTTTCTCAGTAATCTCCGAACTGATGCTTTTCTGCATATTTACATGGGCATAAATCATACACTGCAGATACGGAGGTACTGTGTTTGTGTAGTCAAACAGATGTAAAAGTAAAATGAGACCTATTACAGCTGTATCATATAAAAGCCCATCAGAAAAAATACAAATGATTGTTTCTGAATTCAGTGTTTATCTTTCTACTGCTTTACTTGTGACACTGAACATTTACGTACCGGCTGCTCATATCGTTCTGGCGAGAAATGAGATTTTGGAGCAGACATCTGTCAAATTTTTGCTGAGCATGCAAAACTAAAAAATCCAGTGTGAAAGTGATTTTCCCTCCTGCTGCATGCTAAGTGCAACAGCCATCAGCTCAGTCAAAGGAGACACAAATCCAGTTCCTGTCTGAGGCTGAAACAGGAAGGAAACATTAATCACAGGGCTGATGCAAATGAGCTACCCTCGGCATTAACCAACATCTTTGGGGACTACACAGAGGTAATTCATTTCTGGAGGAGTTTTCAAAAATGCCACCAGAAAGATATTTTTTGGACTTGGCTAAAGACCTGGCAGCTGAAATGTATTAAATATGGGCACAATGTTAAGATGTTTTAGTTAACTCGCACTTAGACTTGAACACTGGTAGTGGAAGAGATGTTATTAGAGATCATAGGTGGTGCGAAGCTGAGGCACAGTCAAACTCTGCTGCTGATGTCTGCCTATGATAAAAGCTGGCCTTACCTAATAAACCTTTGCATACATATCAAGAACAGCATCAGTTTTGTATTAGATTCTTCTTTTCCAAGGGTTGTAACTCGAATTTGCAGTGAGAGGGAGTCAGTCAATTAGAAAGGCCTTTCCCATTTCTGAATTCTCTGGTTCTTGGTTTAAACCATGTCAGTGATTTTATCTAAAGAAGCTACACATAATAGTCAGAAAGACAAAGTCTGGAATGTTTCAAAGAGAAAACAGTTTGCACTGTCTATAAGGTGCACAAGTTAGACATTTTATAAATATTAACGTTCTCTGACTCCAGCAAAGCATTTGTAGCTAAGGCTGCTTTAAGAAGGAATGCTAAGATTTACTGGGGTTAAATTTGCAGGAGGAAAACAGAAAATCCACAAATTTTTCTTGTTCTAATCATCTGTGAACTCATACAGCACAAGTAATGCCAGGCTTCTACAGGGAAAGATTCCTAATAATAGGAAGGGATTTGTTCTCAGTGAATTGTGGGCCAAAATCAAATCAGTCCATCCAGTCACTTCTGAGCTTTGGGTTGATTCCTGGGGAGGAAATGTTTCGAAAAGCATTTTGGAAAGTGAATAAGCAATAATTTGCTCCTAATCAGAGGAGAGCTGTCAGCCAGTAAGAGAAATACAGGAATGGAAAGGACCTCTTGAATCAGTTAACTTGAGTTGTGGAAGAATAGAACATCTTTCAAAACTCTGCTGATTTTTACTGAGGAGGGGAGAAAGTGAGACTATGGAAGTGTAGGAAGAAATACAGTAAAGTTGGACTAGCTCCAGGAGAGGAGGTGAGTGAGGGAAGAGGCTGATTCTGGAGAAAGACCGCGCCTCATGCAGCAAAATTGGGGCAGAAACAACTTTTTCAACCTCTTGGTGACACAAACAGACGCCATTGCTCTTCAAAACAAAGGCTCAGCATCTGACAAGCTCCCCAAATAGGCAAAGTTGCGTGACAGGGAAGTAAGAGAAAAAATGGGAAAAACAAAACAAAAGAGGAAACTGCATTTCAGTTTTCTCTGTATTTCTTGCTTCCTTCAGCACGAAAAACGGAGTGAATGTTGAAAAACAAACCCATGTCAAGAACTTACCAATAAGAGGGTAAGGAGCATCTTCTCTTCCTGAAATCACCCACAGCTTGTAGTCTTTTTCAGAGCCCTTTAAAATCAGAATTAAGAATAAGTTTGCCAGCCATTAAGAATAGGTTCACGTTAGGTTTCTCACAATGTAAGGATAATCTGCACTTTGCCAGCAGGGTCAAAGCAACCCCCTTTACTTTTGCAGTGCCCAGCAAAGCTTCAGAATTGTGTCTGTCAGGTGCAATGTCATTTATGTGACCGGGGTCCAGTTCTGAGCAGTGAGAGGTGCTGGAGCCTGTTATTTCTGAAGGAAAAGGGGGAGATTTGCCCCAGTTCTTTCACTGTTCCTGGAAGCAGAGGGATGGAGGTCACAGCCTGCCTGGACTCCGGATCGCTTTTGAGGCCAGACCAAGGTGTTTGCCATGCCAGACCCCCCTGCCGGGTGGCTGAGTTGGTCCCCACTCCCAGGAGGCTTGAAATGAAGCAGCCCCCAGTGTGGAGGGGACCTCTGGCCTCAGGTGCTGCTCCTGGCCCCCAGCACCTCTGTGCCCCACTTCTCCCCACCGGTGCCAAGCAGCACCCAGCCCTGAGGAGAGAGAGGTCTGATCCCCGGGAGGGATTACAGATAAGCAGCACAAAGCGGAGGCCCGCTGCAGAGCATGTGGCAGACAGCAGGCAGTTCGTGTGAGCGAAGGTGACCCTTCAGCTCCGACCTGAGTACCAGGATAATTGCTTCCTCCAGGGCACGCTCTGGCATGCAGACAGCCCCAGCCTCACACCTGAGACTGCTCCACCATCTCCTCAGCTCCTCTACATGTACAAGCGGGAGGAGCTGAGCCTCACCAGCCAAGAGCATCCCATGCCCTGCTCTGGAGAGCAGGGCAGGAGCACCTTCACCTGAGACCTGAGCCTGCACTGATGGTGCCAAAGGGAGGATGGCACTCAAGGGGCTCCTGGCACTCAACGCTGCCCCAAAATCTCCTCGCAGGGCTGCCATCAGACTTTTTGTGCAGCCCTTTTGCATGGAAGGGCTTGGCAGCACTGGATGGGAGCGCTTTAAGCCTGCTGAGCTCTCTTTTAAAATTTATGGTGGAGAGGATGAATTTACATCAAAGGAGACAAATTCCAGACGACTGGAGAATGTGAACATCCTTGGGAAAAGCTGTGTAAAATCGCTGATTTGAAAGCAAATTCCAAATAATGCCTTAGCATAAATATACAAGTCAATGTTGCAGTTTAATTGAAGAAGAATAGCACATTATTTCAGATACGATGGTGAGACAATAGAAATAAAAAGAGTGACATTTAATATAAACCTCTCTCAGGACAAAAGGTAATAGCAAGTGATCTATTATACCTTAAATCCCTTTTCAGTGACACTGCGAAATCAGGATAATTAAAATCTAAAAGTTTTCTGGCTACAAAAGGTGATAAAGACCTCATGACAGTACTTATTTAGCTCTAAAATTAAATCCTACCTCCTTTTACACGGAGTTGTCTACTATCCTGCATTGCCTAGACCTTCACCCAGGGTCCCCAAAGGTCTTGAGCCTCTTTCTACTCCCTGCACACACCCAGTGTAATGCCACTACACCAAATAAAGCCTTTGCAGTTTGCTCTCTGACTGACAGAGCTTTCTGGCCCATATTAGCACTACTGTTAAGTTAGCTAGCAGGGGGCAGAAGGAAAATAAATAGGCTTTGGAGACATTTCTGATGCCTCAGGGAAAGCAGCCAGGATCAAATAAATACAGCCAAGGAGCACAAGAAAGGGTATTTACTTTTCCTTTTAAATATATATATGAAAGGGTTCGTTGCTGTGAAGGGGAAGCAGGAGAAGGGGAAGAGCTAGTAAGCGCAATTTCAGGAGGCAGACTCCTCATCTCTCGATTGCAAATGTCCTTTATGGGCTTTACAAGGCCATTTGCCAGTATAAATGTGACTGTCCCAGAAAAATCAGCAAGTGTACTTACAGAGCTGGGAAACCCAAGGCCCTTCTTTCTGCCCCACTTGATAATTTGGAACAGATGATCAATGTCATTTTACCAGAGAAACCACAGAGGGAAAAAGCCTGATGTGTTAAACTAGAGTGAACTCAGCCAAAGTAATAGCCCCATTAATCACACAACATGTGAAATGTAGTTTTTATAATTGCCACTGAAAAGTCGTAGAGCTCCTTTCAAGTGGTTCTCTCTGGACATAAATTAAAAAAACCTCGAGACGGCGCATAAGGAAAAGCTTCCTCGCAGTCAGAACAATCCTACGAGGGGGCTGGGTGTTTGACTGATACACAGGCTACAGCTTAATTTATTTAGTTTGTTTGATTTTGTTGCTAATCTTATGATAGGCCTCTAATGAAAAAGGCTTCATGCTATGAAGATGCAGTGAAAAAATGGAGTATATTACTTGGGCCAATAATTCTGCAGGCAATATTTTACATCTTTCGGATGGCTTTCATTCTTTTTCCACTTGAAATAAAAATGTAAAGAGGAGGAAAGGGTTGATTGTGATACACACAAAAGAACACAAAACTGAAACCTAACCAGCTCCTCCTCCTGCTCATCTCAGGCAAAGTGTTCTCTTCCAATACTACCATTTTCCTGTTTTTTCCGTACACAAAAGGAGGAAGTGCAAATGACACCCATAAAATGGGTAAAAATGAAGCACACCGTAATAAAGACTTGCAGTTGCAATATAGCATAGGCTCTTGATTTTTGGTACAGACTGGGGGAGACAATCTGCAATTAAAATCCTCATTTTAATTCACATCTTACCCTTTTCACCTTGCAGTCCCTCCACCAATTCCAGAGCGACGTTAATTGGACAGACTGCTGGGTCCTGAGCTCGCGCCAGAGCTCTAGCCCTGGTGTAAATGGGTTAACAAGATGGCTAGACAGAAATTGCTGTCCCTGGGAAACATCAAGCTAGCAGAATAGGCCCCTGGATGCATTAAAAGCCTGTATAAATTAGGGATAATTAATGCTAGGGAAGGCAAATTCTGAGGTTACTCCAGCTTTTGCTGGGGGTCTCCAGAAGTCCCAGGGAAGCACAAGAGTGGCATTTGGGTCATATTTGACTCCTCACACTCAGGGCTCTGGTAAGGAAAGACTTGTCAGATTCCACGCCACGAGATCAACATATGCATCAATAATAAGACATTAAAAAAAATCTTGTTACCCAAACAGCTGACTGACAGGGCAGTTAAAAAGCTGTCATCCAGGAGCTTCTATGACCATCAGTGTTGGCTGGAGTGACGTTGTGAAACAATGAAACAGAGTAAGGGAGCCAGAATCCCTGTCCCTGGCACAGATTCATTACTACACCTGAGGCACTGCCTTGTCTGGTTTAGAGCAAAGGGAGCCAGTTGAGGCAGTACTTGATCTACTAGGGATGGCTGCATCTACTTGCTGTTCTACTCTGCATTATCATAAGTCCTGTAAAAGCCTTTTGCCAAAACAGGTTCTGGACATTGCTTAAATTGGGTCTATTCAGAGTCTGTGCAACCACTCAGTCACATTCCTATCTCACATAACACTAAAGGTCCATGGATATTTGGTTTGGACACTTGAGAGCAGTTCTTGCACTTGTAATCTGGGGACACAGCTGATCACGTGTGTTTGCACATTTTGAATCCAATTAACGAGCAGGTCACTGGGTTTCCTGTTCACACTGAAGGATACAAAAGGAGCTGTATCAAACTCTCACTTCTTGTGTCAAGGTATCTCCTCTTAAGCATCAGCAAAACAGATTTAAAAGCAACTTCAAACAGATCCCTTACAGGGATGAGAGACTTATTCAAAACTTTCAAGGCACTTGATGATCTCTGGAGGTCTGCATATTAACAAGGCACTTTTGCTTCATTTCAACAATGCTGAATTGCTATGATAAAGGATTTACGTTCATATCCTAAAACTTGGAAAAAGTGCAAGAGAAGATTTGATTCTTAAAAGTGACTACAAAAAGACTCATTAAAAGTGGTGCAAGGACTTACATTAATTCCCAGCTGTTGCAGGGCCATCATAATTACATCATTTGCTGTATCAACATTGGTTACACTTACGGTTTTTGACTGTGAACAGAAAAAAGAAGGGGAAAGTGGCATTAAAATTTGGATTTGCAAAGAGTATCTGAAGTGCAATAGCTCTGCATAATTCATTGTTGGAAAATTGGAAAGTATCCTGTTAAAATTTTACTCTATAAATAAGTTATACTGCATAGATAAAGATCCAGCTGTCTGAGACCGAGGTTTGATTCCTCTGCTTTGTCACATACTTCCCTTATTTGCTCCCTGCTTCCCTACCAGCTCCATCAGAAGGGAGAGTGCCATGATTACTGGGGACAGGACCTCCACATTAAAATATGCAAAAAGGCACAGCCACTACCTGCACTTCAGACACTGCCTAAGGGAAATGTGATGGTTTGATTAATTTAAAAGCATGCAAGTTTCCTTTGAAAAAAATGAAACATTTCAGTGAGTTTTTTCGTGAAATAAGAGGTTCTCGTATCAATTATAAATCATTTCTTTCCTTTCCTTTCCTACTGAAGATCTCCCTGGTAAGAAAAGACTGTACACAAGCTGTTCATCTCTCTATCCTTTGCCACATTCTATATAGATTTCTCAAAGCTAGATTTGGCTTAGAACCAGAAGCACTTCCTCTTGGTAATCTTTCATCCAGTTAAAACGCTACCTCTCCAGCATCCTCAAGAATCTGCTGACCTGCAGTATGGAAAAGCATGGATCAGCAGAAACAACGCTTCCTAAATAGAATCATAGAATCATAAAATCATTATGGTTCGAAGAGACCTCAAAGATCACTACGGCAACCAGCATGAAGTGCCAAGCTTTGTGTCGGAGGAAGTGCCGCCTTCCACAAGGCAGCCCTTTCCAGCGTGAGATTTCAGCACCTGCTGCCTGGCACCAGTATGATTTACCTACAGCCAGGCAATGCTCTGTACCTCGGCACCATGGGTTGCTCTTATGCAGGGCAGCGCATGTCAAACGCACCAGGATTAATGATGGCATCCTGCAGCAGCACCACTGCCATCATCCTGCAGAGGCAAAAACAAGTGGGGAGCGTGTCCAGAGTGGTTTCTGCTTGCACCATCACACCCACCCTGGCCTCACTTCCAAGCCGACAGGCAGCTCCCACACACAAGTTACTAAGTCCTCTTTAGAGGCATGCTGGTTTGGCTCTGCTAACAAGACTACACAGCTTTTGGATTGCAGCTGGTTCATGGCCAGCCTAAAACCCTGGCAGAACAAATGCATGCCCTCTCCAACAAACCGCCCAGGCATATCCAATGGCCCAAAGAAGGGAGGGTGGCAGAGCCGGCATGTAAATGTTCACTGCCCGTCCCAAGACAGTTTGCTATACCCTATGGCCCTGTGTGGCATTATCAATTTTATACTGGCCATAGGATGTTCAGGTGGAACAACCCCCTGACATTTTGCATTTAGAAAAGATCTGAGCTGTACATTTGTTTAAGTCTCTGACAGTAACAAGCTGCCATGGCAATCAAAGGAAAGTAGTGAGAATACTGTATATCTTGCTTCAGGACATATCTGAATGCTCATACCATAAAAAATTTAACATTTGCCTGAAGCAATGACATCTGGCTCTCAGGAGTAGGTCAGCACATTTGCATAAATTTTGCTCTCAGCTAGCATATAATAAAGTGGTTTGTGCCTTGTGTTCAGCCTTCCCTACCCTCTAAAAATGAAATAATTCTTGGGCATCTCCAGCTGCTGTAGCACAGGGACCACAGTGCCATAAGAACTATTTGCATCACAAAGTTTCCATCTGCTCCTCCTCTGTTTTATTACTGATAATAGCTAGACCACAGTGTGTCACTTCTAGGACTTAGGATCAAGAAATCATATTTGGCACATGAGCTAACTATAGCTAAGGAGAAAAGACATTTAAAAAAAACCAAAAACCAGCAAACCCTGGTACAAGAGTGCAACACCTGAGTGCATATATAATTCATAGACATTTATACCTGATCTGAAGTCCTGCATTTGAACTATCACAATTATTGTTACTGATTATTAACATTTGTCTTAGCAATCTGGCAATTCTAACTATTATCGTTTATCTTAATAACGATTTTCTGAAAAAAAGGCAGACTACTTTATGCCTGCGCAAATACAGAATTCTAAGTGGAGATTCACTGTTGGGCAAAGACCTCCAATGAAATCTAACTTCTGTGAAAATTTCTCCTATCCTTGCAAATGCTCTTTAGGCTTCTGAGCATGAAATACAAATCTTACAAGCCGAGTTAGAATGAAAAGACAAATGTATAAGAAGCAGAGGGAGAATGGATGGATTATCACTGAATGCTAGGGTATTCCTAGGGAACTGGCTACATACAAGCATTTAGTTTAAATTGATTAAACATGACTTAGTAAAAAAGGTGCAAATCACCCTGTGGATGACCTTTCTTCACCAATTTACCTTGTGCCTATAAAGTTACCAGCATTACTTAGCTGATGAAAAGTATGCTTAAGGCAATTTCAGGGTGTTCATATACACAGCTTTACTGACTTAGGATCATTATAAACAATAAAACACATTGCAGCTTTGCAGAATTGAATGAAGGCAGCTGTGGGTTTAGATCATTTTACAAGCAAAAAAAAGGGTACATTGTACTGGCATTTCTGAAGATGCTTATGCATAAGTTCCACTTGAGGTGTTCCTTGGGACTTCACACTGTACAGTCTTTAGTGTGTGTGCCAGAACCAGTATTTCTTACAAAGCACACTGTCTTCAAAACTGAACTCATGTATCAAACACAGGAAACAAACATTTCAGGCCTGCACATGCCAAGTCTTTTAAAGGGGCCGGATCTTTAAAGGAGGTTGCAAACCAAAGGAACCCTCCCAATATCCAAAGGATTTACAGGTGACTAGCACTCATAGGTGATGATACGTATTTAGACCCCTGTTTAGCTCAAGAGCACTTACATATGCACAAGTTCCCAAGTCCTTTGCAATTATCTTCAGAGGAATGCTTTTAGGATAGTCTTTTTCCTTCTCTTCTCTTATTCGACTGACAGAACAAGTACAAAACAAGTGAATTTTTAATATTGTAAGCATAAATAGCAAGACAGAGATTTAAATAGCAATCAAGCAGTAACTGGATAAGAAGCAGACTGTTTGCAGATGTACTGCAGTAGAAAGATCTCTCAGGACAAGAAAGCATCCAGCAGTATCTGGAAGGGATGCTGACTGTGGCCCCCAATAATGCCTTGTTGTATCAAAGTTCATTGTAGAAATCAGAGTAAGCAGCAGAGAAACTGGATTTAAAAGATCAAGCTAAAACTACCCATCATTGTGATGCCTCAGTCTGCAGCACAGGCTCCTACTGGCATCAGCTGCATCCTATTGTACAGACCAGTTCAAAGGACTGAAGAGAAGACTGAATTAGAAATCACTCCCAGCATGGATGATTTAAACAACCCCAGGAACTCTGAAGAATCAGATAAAGACACAAACCTCAACCAGCAGAACTAGGTGACCAGAAAACAAAACCACTTGTAGTAGTTTTCTGTCCAAACACTGACTGAAGTAAGACAGTTGTATTTACACAAACACTCCCAGCATACCCTCCAGCTTGGGGTACATTTTGTAAGACCCAAATACAGCCAGCCATGAGCAGTGGATAGGTTAGAGCAGAGGTTCCTGAGCTGGGCTTGCTTAGATGCCATCACCATGGAAAGAGACCCAGACTCAACTACAGCAATGGTGGCAGAGGCTCCTACAACTGCATAGGGAAGGGACCATGCGTGATAGGAATTGCTCCAGTTTTGTGCTGAGCCACGTTTAGGCACAGGGAAGCATTTCCCTCCTTGCGTAGTGATCGTTGCATGAACAGCACATACCATCTTCTGCAGGGAGAAGACATGAGACCTTTTTTTTCTTAATATCACTTTGAAAGAGCTTATCTCTCATGATGGCATAGGCACCACAGCTTGGGAATCACTGTTCTAGATGACTGGGACTCTTTTCAGTGTCTTCAAAGACTGTATAATAAAGTACCTTTGCAAAAAAGACAGCCATGTTTCCTTTTGTTCTGCAGACCTGCAAGAATTACACAAAGAGAGGGACTAATCAGTCATCATTCTAAGACCAAAATAGCCCTTGTACAAACCATAGTGGAATGGCCTGCTTCTTGGTTGCAATTTCCATAAATACCTACAGAAACTAAAAAGTTTTTCCAGATTTGAATGAAAAATCTATTTCCCTGCAAAGTCAACTGAAAATTGATTCACAGAGATCAAAAGCCCCAGTTACCAGTTTTTGTCACAGAAGTTAAACTTTACCAGTGAATTCAGTAGGAAATGGGTTGAGTTCTTAAACTAATGTCCAAATAGAAGAGGAGGGCACTTTAAGATAAGAGCTTAATTCGAAAGTTTAAACGCATTTCCTCAGGTATATAGACTTCTTTCCACTTTCACTATTCTAATTCTCTTCTTATTCATTACTTGGTTTATCACCACATGACAAAGTACATGCAAGCTACAATGAAAAAAGGTCCCATTGTATTTAGTAGGGTTTAATTTTGGACATTTTAAGGCTTATCTCATTTATCTTTACCTCATTTATACACTTTCAAGGATACTAAACTGTCCAGTTAATTGTACCTAATAATAGGACAGTGCAAGGAATCTAACTTAATTTTGCTTCAACTTTCTTGATTTAAATCCTGCTCCAGACAGAGTAACTGCTATTCCCACTGCTGCTTCTGCAAATCAAGTTCTTCAGATTTTCAGAGCAGGCATTTAGGGAACTACAAACCTACTGAATGATGCTGTGGGTGAATACACTTTATAAACATGAAAAATGTGATTCTGCTTTGGCTGCTTCAATTCTGTCGGATATGCATCTACAGACTCATGCATGGCATTTTAGATTTTTCTGTGTACCTCCAGACATAAAATAATTCCACTTCTGTAAAATCACTGACTCTGTTTTGCTTGATGCTATTGCTTTCCTACCCACCTACTTTCTGGTAGTTATTAAGGATCACGTACTGCCTCTAGATCAAATGTCATGTTTATTGGCAAGAGTTCAATTGAAAATTAATAGAAAATTTCAGCTTTGTTTCAGAACTATTAAGTGAAAAAAACATAAACAGCACAACCAGCTCAATAGAGAGCAGTTTGTGTACAGCATTCCCTTTGGATATGGACAATGTAACATACAAATTAAGCTGCATGTGTCAGCTTTTGCTCTTTGTTGGTAACAAGGAAAATACATTTTCCAAGACCCAGTCAAATTACTGTGGCTAAGCAGCTGGGATTTCAGGGGGACGGTGCCCTCCCTTATCCAAAGTGACGACAGAGCCCTCCCGCTGAGACTAAAATTAGCCTAATCACTGAAATTGCCTCTACAGCCCTTATGTGTCCTACAGTCAATGCTGCAAAGACAGACCAAAAATCTTTCTCTCTATTAAAATTCACAGATTCTGCTTTAGGAGGAATTTTGACGTTTTCTTTGGTACAATTAAATTAGAAAGAGAAATAGGACAAGGTCAGTATTTCACTGTATATTTCCTGCTACTTTCAATACAAGCTCTTCTGTTTAAAAGTGTCATACGAGAGTGTCTTTGATCCTTTCATTAGCTTGGCTGTTTACTATTTGCAGTTCATCTCATTAATTAGCCAAGGTGTTTGTGAAGTTATACCAAAAAAAAAGAGAATTTCCACCAAGTAAGTATGCAGCACAGACAGTGCTTTGCCAAATCACGTATTTTCTCAAACATTTAAGTGGTAAGTGAAGATCACTGCCTCGTTTGCAGAGAGACAGAAGATGAGGCCTGGAGGTTAAGTGACTTGCTCACAGCAGTACAAAGAATTGGTTCAAGAATTGGTACGTTCTTGCTTCCCACATTCACTGGTGCTGAAATGCATCTGTGATAGTCTCGGTACCTGTGAGCCTAAAAACATTTAAGTAACTTGGTAAATAAAACGTACCTCAATTCTTACCTGAAATTTGCCACACAGTTTGTGGTGGGCCAGCCCAAAACAAAGGACCTCTCTGGGTCTGTGCTCCCTTCACAGACTTCTTCTGTACAAAACGCTGTCCACATCTCACAGAGACGTGCTTGGCACTTTAGTTTGAAATGAGAGTGCGACCTGCCGGCAGAAATTCACGGGTACGTCACACACATGAAAACATAGCAAGGCAGGTTAAACAACTCAGAGTTTCTTCTTCCTTCAGGCACATGTGAAGCTTGCATTGGAGCTGATGGAAGAAGCACTTCTGCTTTAGCTAAAGAAAACAATGTTGTATTTGAGTTGCATATAAAAATATATCAATTTCTCATCTAAATGGGCTCAACAGATTCTTATACATGGGATAAATAGGTTGCTTGTGGCATCCCTGGACATCCCCCTTCTTGGGGGAAAACTTCTGCCCACGTCTAGAGCTCCCCTCCAAACCTAGCCATGAGGCAAAGATTATCACTTGTGTTGGACTCTCCTTGCAGTGGCTTTTTACCTTGCAGGGAAAACCTCACAAAGTCAGTCCAGCTCTGTAGCAACGCAACAGTCACACGCTTCAAGGCAGGTTTGCACTAGAGGCCTTGCAGACCAAATTACTGGAGCTCTGGCTCTCCTGGATCAGCAGGGAAAGGCTGGCGGAAAACTGTCCCCTCCCTGAAAACGCTTTGCCCTTCTAATCCAAGGACTGGAAGCAAAAGCATGTCAGCTCATCACTGTGTTGCAAATGTGGATGCGGACAGCGCGTGGCACCATGGTGATTAGTGCTCTATAAATAAATATTCCAGGTAAGCAGTTTCTTAGAGCTTTGATACACATGGACTACCTTCTCCGAGATTAGTCTCATTTACAAGGTATTTGATTTAGGACAGACTGAACTAATACAGTCTGAAACATGAAAGTACTTGAACCTTGCAGCTTTAAAGAGGACAGAGATGAACTTGGAGTACCCTGACTGGCCTGAGGTTTCCAGCTGACCCTGTGCTAACCAAAAACCCAGCAGCATTTGCAGTGGAGGGCAAGAAAGGACCATCAGTGCATATCACACCTGGCAAAAAGGTGCACTTACTTCAATTAGATCACCATAAAATACTGCAAAATACCATCTCAAGTTCATGCATTTTTTAAACCAAAAGCTAAACACCATGGTCAGCTAAACAAAGCTGACCATAGTGTTTTCTGGTCAGCTGTACATTTCACCTCTCTTTACTCTATTACATTCTGTTACCCCATCAAAGAGAAACTTAAAGTACAGGAGAACATCTCAACGTGCTCGTCAACAAATCAGTTTGTGATGCAACAAGTAAGATCTGTCAAGAATACAGAAATAACTGTAACTGGCCACAGAATGAACTGTGAAAATGTAGATTTACAAAAAAATACAGCAGTGAATTCTAAAGTAGATGTTAATAAATGGATGCCTGGTCTGACTCCACCGAATCAATCTGTTGACCCTCCTTTTCTCCTCAATTTCTTTTTCCTATTACCCAGTACATTGAACCCTCTACATGCTGTTTCATTTTTTGAACATTTACAGTTCATAAAGCCAGATCCCTACAGTGCCAGTAGTGGGTGTCAGCAGGGTGTTGGCAGAAGCACAAAGATGTTCTCCAATCATGCTTGATGTATATTCTTACCCTGTTTGCCATACCTAGTCACAGCTCTCAGCTATTATCAGTATTCAAGTGGCCTGGTTTCCAGAGGTGCTGAAACAGTAGCCTCCATTAACATCTAAAGAGCCTGAAGTATAATTTTATCTCTATCTGCCATGTCCTTCATGCAGTTCATGGGTTCTCAGCATTTGTGAAATGCAGGTCTTCTATTTAAGTGCCAAAGCATTACATCTAGAAATGAATATATCATTGCTGACTAAGGAAGCAGCAGGACTGAACATTTGAAAAATGGGAAGAGTAACAATCTAACTAAGATTTTAATTTTTTTTTTTTTTAAGGAAGTAAGTCCCCTTGCAAGTGTTACACAATTATCAGGCAGATCCAGAGTCCACTGAAATCAACTGAAAAATCATGAACGTCAATGGTGTAGGTATTGACGCACCCCAAATTGTGCCACCTCTGCAGAGTAAACTCAGTTCATTTTGCTTTCTGTAAATGGCAATTGGATACTTTGCGGGTGTTAACAGATGGAAGATTAATTTCTCACTAGATTTGCTAATCTCCTTAATAGGACACTTTGACAAAAGCATTAATGGATCTACTGTGAGATTGCTACCGTAATTGCATGTATGCACTCAACCATTAATTTCTAAGTCCAGCCACATTGGGAAAATAACCTTAGAAGTCATGTGTATATATGCATGTATGTATTACAAAGGAGAAAGAGTAATTTCTCTGTGCCTCCCACACAAAAAGTGTTAATCATTGAACTGACAGATCCTTGAAATATTGACTCCGCCAAATAAAAACACACATTCTCTGTAAGAAATCTATATAATATATACATAGTATAACGTATAGTATAACATATAGTATAACATTTCACATACTTAACATTGGTTTAGTGAGAAAAACTCTTTCAATCAATGAATTTCTGACTTAATCCTCACATGAAGGCAGTAAAGCTCAGGGCAGCAGAGAGAGAAGGACAGCATGTGAATATTCTTCTTATTTTTTATAAGTTGGCCTAATGCACGATCTGAAAAGATAATAGTCTACATTTCAAAAATTATTAGAAAGTAGCAGAAAAAAAAGTGAACCTAAAGGCACCTTGTCCAAAGTCATACATAGACCAGTTGCAGAAAGGACTTATCCCCCACAAATTTCCATGGGAGCAATGCCAATTTGCTGCCTTTAAGCAGGAGGTCAGTGTTGTACAGGAGTTTATTCAGCAAGCTCAGAGGATACAAGATACTTCTTGCTCTCTTTAGGAAAAACTTGTACCCATCTGCTGGTCATACAGTGTCTAATTATACATGAGCTCCCTTTGTACAGCGACTGGCTACGTGCAGCCGAGCTGACACCAGTACAGCGCTGAGCTGTACCTAAGATATCTCAGGTGTTCATATGCCCCAAGCTGAAAAAACTACTTAACACAAGAGTATTACAAAATTTGAGCACCTTCACAAGGGATAATTCTGAAGTTAAGTCAGATTCAGTTGTATCATTAATTCTGTCCTGGTGACCTGCTGCCTTGGCTCTGCATCAGCTATTAAAAAGTCAGTAACAATCAACAGTCATGGCCACACAGCAACACACACCACTCAGGTTTTCCCTCTAGGAATCAGCAACAGTATTTTAGTGTGAGGTAGTTTTAAAAATGCTGATTTTTAAGTAGTATTCATTAGTGAGAGCTCTGAGGCTTTACTTGCTGAACAGTGCAGCTGTAGAGAGAACATCCCAATTAGTTCTTTAAAATACATGAAGTAATATCACTCAAAATACTACCCTTACCATTTCTAGCAAAGGCTTGCCCCCCCTCCCTCTTTTTCACATGCAGAAGCACAATTTGTTCTCTTCCACCTTCTTCAAACATTGCAGACTCTTCACCCCATTAAATCAAATGCTGTAAGAGCCGTTATTACTCCCTGGGGACCAGATTTTGGAGTGGTTACATCGAGTATTGCTTTCCTCTGCAAACAGTCCCACTGGGACCCAGCCAAACCTGCAGTAACATGCAGCTCAGCCGGGGCTTGTAACACTGCTTCTGCTCAGCACGCTGACCAGGGAGGGAAGGATTCATCTCTCCTCACTTTAGTCTTCTACAATTTAGGAGCTAAGCTGGTGGACTCTGCCTGCTTAACAGCCAGTGGACGGAGTGAGAGACCCCCAAGAGCATAACTCCCCTCACCCACCACTGACCCTTTTTCAGGCCCAGGTGAGTTCGCTGGAGGAAGGTGCTGGTTTTCCCTCAGTGACTATAAGAGGAACCTAGAAGCTTAGGTAAGTTGCAAATATTTAACATTTCAAAGCTTAAATTAGGTGAGGTGAATTCCACGCTAAACAAGACAGAAACATAAATAAATACAGCAACAATGCTATTACTGCTACTGCTGGTAGAACAGCAAGATTTCCCCTAAATATCCTTATGCTCACCACCCACCCGTAGTGGAACATGTTTTGGGTAAAATATCCTCTGTGTTGTCACACCACATCAAGTGAGGGAGCTCAGCTTGGGGGGTTACATTTATTGTCTTAAACCACAAATGCTGCATGAAGCTGGCATGCTAGACACAGCTTGTAAATCTGATTTAATTGTGAATGGTAGAGTGAATAATCAGAGCTCAGCAGCAAGCCTGATTACACATGAACACCACCCAGACTGCTCAGCATTGCTTCCCTTCCCCTTCCCCTTCCCCACGCTCCTCCTGGCACAGCACAACCTACAGAGACAGACACTGTGATGCCGCCTGCAAGCTTTATTTTTATGCAGCTGCTCATCACTGGTGTGTATCAAAGCAGCATCCAGGTAAGCGTTAAGACCTCTAACCCCTCTGCAACACAGCCACTGGTGTTACGCACACCCCATAGGACTGAAGATGTCCTGTCTAAAACACAACAGCCGGTTCAAGGCAGTGCAACAGATGCAGTCAAGCACCGTAGAGTCTTTTCTATGACACCGCGTTCCCAAAGCAGTATCTGATATTTCTTTAAAATATTGTGTCCTGGAGTTCCTCTATGGCTATGGAGTTTTCAAAGGTGCCTGGAGAGGTCAGGCATCTAACTTCCATTGACCAAATAAAAAGCTTCCATATGATTTAGGGAAGATTTGCTACTAAAAAAGCATTATGGAAATCCATGCTATGCTCCACCAAGAAAAAGGGCTGCTCTGCAGGAGGAGGGCCTGAGGTGCCATACTCACTTGTACTTGGCAACAACCAGAAGGTCTGTGAAGAGGAAAAGGTGTCGCTCCTGGGTTTGCAGACCTGTCTTCAGCTGCACGTGGCCGTCCAGGATGAACGTTCGGTTGTGGCACATGAAAGACTGCACAAGGGGACATGCCTCTGGGCTGATGGGGGAGAAACAGCCTTCCCTGCAAAAGGAAAGAAAGGGAATAAAGGACAGCAAATCACCTGATTGCCTGTGAGTGAGAATCAGGCAGTGACTCCCCATACCTGCTGCCAAAAGGCCATTTATTTGACCACATTTCAGTGAAAGGTGAGAGGGACAATGAAAATAACTCAGCAGTCTGATTCTGACACAAAATCTGTTAGGAACTGTCCTTGCTGAGTCTTTCACAGCCCAAGCACATGGATAGCATTTAGCAAAGGACAATAATTTAAATACAGCCCTCTCCATTTTGCCTATTTGTATTTGTCTCCCTTTGTATTGAAGTCTTTGAGACGATACAGCACCTTCTGTAGGCTCTCCATAAAGAAAGAGGAGACATATGCATGACGAATGGATAACTGCACACCTGCCTTGGTCAGAAGAGGACTCATATTCGGGGTTAAAAGCAATTTATAGAAATTATTCAGAACCAAGGACAAACATAAGGTGCAAGTGAACCTTGCTAGAGACAGACCATGTACTAGATCCAACACGAGAAGAGGCTGCTCAGCCTCTCTCCCAGCACACAACCCACAGGCATTGAAGTAAGCTCCTATTGCAGGGTTTGGTTATGTGACTGGAGCACAGCTACCCTTGTCTGTGTCTGTGCTGGGTAGGGGCTGCTGGGTAATCCAAACCCAGGTCTATGGGGCAAGGATCAGGCTCCCTCCTGGAAGACACTGATCTTTTCCAAGGAGGTGTCAAGTGGGTTGCAGTCCAAGGTTACTGATGGTGGAGACATGATTCCCTCAACCCCTCCTGATCTAACTGTTCTACATAAAGTAGCTGAGTAGTTATTGAAGCAGAAATAAGAGTTTCTCTAGCACAATGGTCAGCCCACTCACCAAGACAAGATATCCCTAGTTTCTGAGCCTTGCCCTAACAAATGTCTATTTATACGGAGCCGAACTGAATGAATGTGAGGGTCTGAGGGGAGGGCACTCCTCCTTGAGGGTCCTCTAGAAGCTGGTTGCAGGTCAGACTCTCTCTTGGAAAGTCAAAGACATGGCTTCAAATTCTCCTAGACAGGTGAGAGAACTGAACCTGGGACTCCTACACCCTGAGGTACCTTAAATAATGAATTCCTGGATTAAAACCAGGACCCATCAGCATCTTTACTCAAAATTTTTAAATGCAACTTTTCAATTATTTGCTTTCCCTAGAGGTGCCTCCAAATTAACCATTTCCCTTTGGTTGAATGAATCAGTTCAATTTTGATTCAAATGTATTTTTTTTTTCTTGTTAAGAAAAAAAGAAAAATTAAGCTAACACTTGGCAGGATCAACTTGGCAAGGAAACGCTGAAGTGAGCAGCTTTGTGATTATAGTTTATTCCTGGTCCCGCTGGAACGGATGACAAACACCTAACTACTTTGCTGGGAGGAGAAATGGACATTATACAGTGAAAGTCACAAAACAAATGGGCGAGAGATGAAAGAAAATAAGAGTGAGCAGAGAAAACCTTCAAAGAAGGTCATAAACCTTCTTCTACCTCTCTTAGCACCTGGATGATTCCCAACCCTCCTCTCCTTGATGCCTGCGGCTGGATTACTCAGGAAATTATTTAGGAAATCCTGACAGCTGGGAGAGAAAGGATAAGCTCTGAGATTGGCCTACATTAGCAGGACACACTTTCACTGATCTGTAAGGAGCTGGTGAGGATCTCTACCTGCTGGGGAGAGCCTTGTTTGGCCTTGGATCCCCTTTCTGGCTGGGAGCCTAAATTTTTGAAAGAATTCCTCAACTTAATTTGTCTTAAACCATGTCTTAATCTTGTATTTCATTACTCACTTCTTCAGGGAAGATAGAAAGAGGAATGACTTTCAGAATGAATAATGCAAACCTAAGTTATTTGATCATTCCTAATCAGAAGGGGTGTCCAGGAGTGTGGAGGTTAAAGCACAGAGAGGAGTTCTGGTCCAATACAACAGTGATACATGCTGTGTGGCCAGCAACAGGAGTCAGGGGAACAGTAAGCATCTCTCCTACCCTGTCACTTCTGTGGGACTGAGACTTCACCAATTCACCAGTTCATCAGGGACTGAGAGGTTACTGGGACTCAATTTCATAAACTCCCTAGGACCACTCATCACATAAACTTAAGCAGAAATCAGGAATGACGACAAGTCCACCTGTGTGAAAGCCATGCATGGCCTTTACCTCAAAGGTTAAGTCAGGGAAATACTCACCTATATTTGAACCCAGTAACAATAATAGTTAGAAAAAACCCTTTCATGTTACACTGCTGTAACCAAATCAGCAGAAACATTCATAAAATCATACTGAAGTGCCTCCCCCTACTGATGTTCTTGCCCCTACTGATGTTCCTGTAGGGTCAGGCTCTCATGTCTCCGTATAGGCAACTCTACTTGATTATTCCTGTTTGTACATTTTCTACATCCTGATTTGTAAGCACAGGAACCTCCCAAACCAAACTAAGCAAAATCTTTGTCACGTAGGTAAGCAAATGAAGGTGTAGTAGGTTTATTAATGCCAGCGGGGTCAAGCAAATTGAACTTGGTTTTAGAACAAGAAAATGCAATGACATCAGTTATTTTAATGAAATCTGCCTTTTGACCCAGTGCCTTTCAAGCATATATATCATCTGAACTCTAATAAGCACTCTCACATACTTTAATAGAGTTTACCTGATAAGCCTTATAAAAAAAAAGTGAAAATATTTTCTTCCTTTGAAACAAAGTGGAAAAAAAATCAAAGCCATTAATTCATCCAGAACCTTCTAAAGCCCCGGGACAAAGGAACATGGAGGAAATTCACCAGCAGTGACAAAAATATCTTTTGGAAAGCATGTTTTTGAGCCTCTCAATTAATGTTCCATTGTTATAAGACATGAATGAAACCCAAGGTTTGTTACACTGAAGAAAATGCAGATCAGTGATACCCTCAGGTGTAGGGATTTATGTAAGAGAGGTATTTTTGGAGTTCAGTTTTTAATGGTTCAGTGTTTTTTCTGGCCATTAAATGGGTCTACTTTTGAAAAAGTGCTAAGCACTCAAATACTGATTCATTGAAAATTTCTTTTAATAGAATTATGCAAAACTCAGTACTTAGGTCAAAGTGATTTCTGATATAATTTAAAAAGTCAGTGATGTAGGGCCTTCTCTGCCTTCTCTGTGTTCCCTGAAAATTCACTCTATGATTAACACATGTAAAAACCCCACAAAGTAACATCTTTCCAGTTTGGCAGAAAAAAGCGCCATCATCTGTGTTTGTTAAGAAAGAACTGGGAACTGATTCCCAAAAGATGGGGATATTCCGCCGGGTCAGCAATCAGTCATGTTCCACTTTGTGTAGGAGCAAGGCTGATACTGATGTTTAGATGACATTGTCTAGTCTCAAATGGACATTCCTTCCTAAAAGACTGTTTTGGGGGTCTGAAATTTCCATGTGTGGTTTTAAGCAAGGAGTAAATTCTGTCATTTGAGGATATCTACAGATATATTCTTGAGTTATTCAGGAAAAGACTAAAATCACTGTACTGGCTGAAATTAGTAGAAAGACAACTGAAGATTTTTCTCCTGGCATTTACAGAACATAAATTTTTACACCTATTATTTTTCAAATTAATCAAAACAGGCATTTTGTGCTTATTTGAAGGATACAATGATTTAAAAGAACTCTTCAATTTTGTAGGTGTAATATATGAAGTTGAAATCCAAAGTGGTTAGCCAAACACTGAAAAATACATCCCCATTCCATCCAGTGTGAAAGCAAACACATCACTGCTCACTTCATCAATCCTGTATTTACCAGAAACCACAAAAGCACAAAAAGTACATCTTCTTCCCCCTGCAGAGCTTCCTTGGGGTTTCTCAGTAAAACTGATACCTGAATGGCATGACCCCCAAAATGTTTATTCTTGGTGTAATGGAGATGTCAGCTTTATTCTCTATTTGTAGTGAAAACAACGAAAGAAATTATACTTTCCAAAGGAGAGTTTAACAGTCCCTGTTAAGTGATTACTAAATCTATGATCCAAATGTCATTTATGCCAATGGGAAGATTTTCCTTGATTTCAGTCGATGATAAGAGGACTTTTTACAAGGGCATGGAGTGATAGGACAAGGGGCAATGACTTTAAACTGGAAGAAGATAGATTTAGATGAGATATTAGGAAGAAATTCTTCCCGGTGAGGGTGGTGAGGCAGTGGCACAGGTTGCCCTGGGAAGCTGTGGATTCCCCCTCCCTGGAAGTGTTCAAGGCCAGGTTGGATGGGGCTTTGAGCAACCTGGTCTGGTGGAAGGTGTCCCTGCCCATGGCAGGGGGGTTGGAACTGGGTGAGCTTTGAGGGCCCTTCCAACCAAACCATTCTGTGATTCTATGAAGATTCTATGACTTCAGCCTATCTACGATTTAGATTAAGCTGTAAGATCCTTCAGGGGAACAATCTGTTCCAAGGTACCTAAGCCAGAATGAGCTATTGCAGGTATCTCAGCTATGTGACATCCCTCTCACAGACTGCTCATGCTCCACCCTAAATCTCACTCTGTTGTTTTGGTTATTGTTCTCTACCAGAGCTTCTCTCCATGAATATCTCTGCAGCCACAGAAGTCGATTTCCCCTTACGATGCAGCACCAATGCTCTCCGCACGACTGATACCTATCAAATTAAAATATCACTTTCCTCTTTAAACTCTGAAGTCCTTCACAAGAGGTAGGTGAGAAATGCGCCTTTTCATTAGCAGAGCAGTAAAATGGCAGCTATTCAAAAGGTTGAAATCGGAGTCAGCCCAGCTATGTGAGAGGCTGCGCTTGGTCTGTCAAACACACCTACATAATACCTTTTCAAATTCCCCTCACGCTGAGCAACTTGGCCTATACTCATTGCACACATAGGTACCACAAGCAAAAATACTGCATGCTTGTGCCAGTTCCGAAACCCAGGTAACGACCAGAAGCTCTTTCCAGTTTCGTGCCTACACACCCAGAGCCTGCAGTTTGTGGCATAAACCTAACCTTGTTTTGGCTACAGGTTAGAGAGGACACCAAGAGGAGCACCTGCCAACCCTCCTCATTGGTGTTCAGAGACAACAGACTTATTTTCTGTATCTCAAAGGCCAGTTTTGGACGGCTCCAAGGAACCAGTCATTTACCTTTTAGGAAAAATCAAGCCAATGAATTTTGAACTTCAGCATCTCTCAGTAAAGCATTTACTTTACCATCACTGAGTCACAGCATTGGGCTAGAGCAACCCACTGTGAGAAGCAGGAGCTATTCACATCCTTTCAAGGCTAGTGAAAACAGCAGCTATCTGCACATTAAGAAATGTCTACAGCCCAGCCCACATTACAGATTTTTGTCAAAATGGATTTATCAGTCAGGGACAACATGTGATTTGTGACCAGCAGAGGCACCCCGAAAAGCAAGCCTGATCTAGAAGTCAAGTTCCTTCATTTTCTTAATAGAGCTTATACTGGAAATCAGGTAACAATATTTGCACTTTTTTTTCTGTGCCTCCTACTCAGACCCTTAAGCTCCTAAAAATTCCTGTGAGAAGGAACTTCAATAGCAGCTTAATAGATGTTTGTTTCATTTTTTTGCTAATGAGGCAGACCCTGCTAACTGGAGCTTGGAAGCCAAGATGGTTTACTGCTGGAAATCCTTTAACACATAAGACGCATTTACCATATCATGCGGCTAGAGGGTATTTTGCATTCAAGATAACTAATTTAGTAAGGTATTGAGAACAATTGTTTAACCAACAAAAAGTGCTCCATTTTGGTGTGCAAGAGCTCCTTGTCTCCCCTGAGATAAAAACAACCCCAAACTCATAGGAAAAAAACCCACCAAACTTGTAACACAGCAGTGAGTACTGATCTGCCTTGTTGGGCTGCTTATAGTGCACTCAAGTGCAATATTAACGTTTTAGGACTTCAACACATATTTAATTTCATCATAAATGATAGTTTGGACATGACCTGTACAGTATCCTAGCCAACTTGACAAAATCATGATAATAGGTCATCACGTTCTGTATGCAAAAAGAGAAGAGTGAAAAACAAAGTGAAAGAAGAGGTTTTCTTGTACACTGAAACCAAATGCCCATGCTTGGGACTGAGCACAAGACAACGGAGATCATCCTGTTCATGCTCCTGATGAATTTAGCCTCTATCATGCTGACAGCTCACCAAAGCACACGGCTTGAAGACTCACTCCCCCTTCTAGAAAGGCTGGGGAGAGCAAGGAGGTTACAACTGCTTTACACACAGCAGATCTACTTCTGAAATTTATCAGCAAGGGACTTTGTCTTTCAAGAACAGTTGTAGAACAAGCAAAGCCCAGCATAGGTACTCGATCATTTGCTCAAATCAGCTGTAGATGGAAATGGGCAGAAACTGGGAGATACTACATGGTTCTGCACATTAACGCTATCTAGCTGGAGCTGTCCTTGTGACATGGCTTCTGGCTTGGCACAAACTCACAAATCGTTTACAGACAAAGGAGCTGAAAACAGGGATGCCAACAGCCATGCCCAGTTCCCAGGACTTGCTCAGCCCAGCCTGCCCCATCCCCACTACCTGTTCGGCATGGCCACGCAAACACCCGCCGTCTTCAGGGCCGAGCACTTGCAGCTCCTTTCGCCATGAACAAGGCTCCATGCAGAGAAGGCTTACCCACTCGGAGCAATCTGCAGCTCAGAGCCCTATTGAGACAGGCAGATAATACAAAAGAAGAATCCTCTGCATTTTTAAAGGTGCTAACTACTCACTATTGTCACTGCCTTCCAGCCACAACCAGTGCCCTTGGCGTGTCACCCATGTGCTCAGAATCTTCCCACTTCCAACTCCTCATGATTCAGAATATGCATATTTATATGGCACTTTAGTCTACTAAATAACAATTACACCTGGAGGGTGAAAGTAAGCGCAAAAAGCACCAGCCTGGAGGGTAGGAGTGTTTTCCGGGAAGGTGATAGGTTAAGATCCAGGCTGACACAGTTAGTATGCTGTTGTAATCTTACACTGACTATTTATAGAAGGGACTTGGATAGACAAGCATAAAACTCTCTTAATCACATGGGCTGCCAACCCATTTCTGAAAATCTGCTGTCAACTTGATCCCTGCTGTGCTAAGGGAGCTTCTTTCTGAGGATGCTGGGCAGGTTTGCTTGCTGTTATCTATGGTAAATCTTACAAAGTTGAAGTAGCACTTTGTGAAAACAGTGCAGCATTCCAGAAATAGCAAGTCTATTTTCTGCAGCGCTCCGTCAAAGTCCCCTAGGCCATCGCTATCACATACAGTAGCTTTCGTACAATGAAACAAGTGAGATCTGCTCGATTTTTCAAAGATCATTAGTAACTAAGTATTAAAAGGTGTGCTCCTACTTTCTAAGTGTGGTCGCAACCTCTTTTTTATGAGTCACATATTTGAACGAATCCGAGGCAGTCACCTCTCACCCGTGCGTACTCGCCTGTGGACTGCGCCTGTGGATCTCACGGAAAGCCCTCTGCCCCAGCCCACAGCCTCTAGCACAGGGCTGTCCTCACTCCGCCCGTGCCAGTGGTTGGACCTCAGCAAGCTGCAGCAGAAGACCCTGCACCCGAGACAGAACGGTGAGTCCCAACAGGGTCACAGAGCCTTCGGACCGAAATGCACTGCTATCACCTCTCCAGCACAGGCAGGGCAAGCACAAGCCTGGACAATGGAAGGAAGATGAGTATTAATAGAGATTGGGAGCAAGCTTTGCTCAGGTAAACAAATAAATTTACATTTTAGGGCAGAAATCAGGGCTACCACTTATATTTAGGAAATCAAGTACCACTCCTCTGCTTCTAAAACTCAGTGTATACGTTTTAATTACATAAATGAAATTTCTTTTTATGTATGTATTTCTTAAATACATTGAGAAAATATTCCAAATTAAATTATTCTAGGACTCAGAAAATTGTTTCGTAAGTATCTGAAATCATCTTTGCACAATGTCAAAATCTTATTAAAAGCAATAAAAATTATTATGATGAATAATGTGGTTCACACTAAATGTTCCAGGTGCCGAGGCACATAACTGTATTATTTTTCTTTAGTCTTCCAAAAATCAGCAAACTATTAAGACTTGCAGTAATATATCACATAGCTGTAGGGTAAAATGCGTCATTAAAAAAAAATCCTCACACATTTCAGGATGGAAGCTTGGCAGCTTAACTGAAAACAAGCTGCACTTAAGTAATTTCTACATAGCCAAAAGGACAATATTCTCTGCAGAGCAAATATGTACTACAGTGTGGTGGCTGGAGACGGGAAACATGCTTGTGGTTTGGTGTGCTTCCAAGGGGTTTTGTTTTATTTTAACAAACAGCTGCAAGGTGTTTACTCTGAAAATTTAGCACAGGGGCAAAATTCTCTATTGGTATAAATTAACACCACATGTTTTGGTCCTATTTTGCTTATTTCCACCAGAAAATAATTTAGTGCAAGTTACTTAATTCCTATTGAAAAGCTCTTGCAGTGTGGGTGTCCCCCAGTCCTGCTATACGGCTCTGCTAGCAATCAACAAGTTCAAGGGGTTTTGGTCCAAGTCCCCCTGAGCAGGGGAGAGATTTGGGGGAGGACGTATTCACCTGTAGAAGTCAATAAAACCTTTTTTGGCCTTTGGAAGATCCTCTGTTCCCCACTGCAGTCCCCACTCGTTTTTACTAAGTGACATAGCAGCACCACCTTGAGTTACTCTCCCATTTCAGTTTGCACCAGGGAAATGCCATTCCAGACACTGACTACCCAAACAAAGATTTTGTTGTTCCGATGAAAAAAAAAGCCAGAAAAAAGTGACAGGGGGTATGGGGGACAAGTAGGATGAACAGAGGGCAAAGAAAAGGCCAGAGCTTACCACCCCAGCACTGCTGTTCTGCACCACGGTTGTCTAGACTTTTTGGCACTTCTCATGGCCTACAAGAAGTCCGGAGGCACTGGGTACCTTTGCCACTTCCCCCCCAGGTCCTTCCTACCCATTCGCAGGAGGTGTACAGGGGAGCACTCTGGGATCTCAGTTTCACCCATGTCCCCCTAGGAAGATGCAGTATTATTTTAGTCGCCTGAAGGGATAAGGTTTCTGTCCTACCTTAATTTTTTGGGGAAGCAGCAATCACAATTGGGACATTTAATCCCACTTAATCACAACTGGGACATTTAAAAGCCTAGCTCAACTCCATTGATTTTGAGTTACCTCATGGGCGAAACTAACCTTTCCTTCAAAAGGGGTTTTCAAATATCTTCTTGCAAACTGTATTGCAAGACTTCAGTGCAGGTCATATAATAGCCAGGAATTCTTGGCTACCAAAAATAGTCAGGACATGCTGCAGATCTCTGCAGAAACAGCTCATTTCAAGTCAAGGTGCACATGAGGTGAAAAGATTGGTGTGGGCATCTTTAGAAATCCCTTTGGGACCATCATGTATGGCTGTTAGTGAGCCCGCATGTATCTGCCTACCCTATAGTCTGCAGCTACACGTTACACAGGCTGTAGACAGGCAAGAATAAGGCACACATGTGACCATGTCGTTTTAACAGGGAAACGGCATTTTCTAGGTGACTGCCTAGGTTTATTGCCTGTCAGTCACCTCACCCAATTATCCGGTAATACCACAGGGCTGCTCACAGTCTCTCAAAGTCTCATTGCTCAACAGTCATTCCCCTTTAGCCTCCAATTTTCCCATTCTTCAAGAAGTAATTCAGCTAGGCTCTTCCCCTTCTCGGCTCGTGCGACCTGAGTAGTCTGCCGTTAAGCAACAACGAGTTTTAAGAAAAACAAATGCATTCAAAACAGTGCAAGACTTCAAATATGTGGCCAGGTAAAGCAAACCCGGAATCCATCAGCTGCTGTTCCCTGTTTGCCCTTTTTCAGGAGAAAACTTGCTGATGATAAACAAAACAATCACATACAAAGTGACCTATAAATAGCTGCAAGTACTGCCTTTAAAAGATAAGCCCCTTCACCACGCTTTGTTCTGCAGCAAGCAGCAGCTGTCATTGAAGCGACTGCTGCCTGGCCTTGCCTGTATCCCCACAATTGTGGGACACCGTGGGGTGAACTCCACAACGCTCCGGCGCAGCTGTGGTGGGAGGCCCTGCCCAGCCCTTGTACCCACTGCAGTTTTTAAGGATCGTCCTCCTGTGAGGGACGACCAATATGGGAGATGGGATTGTCACTTCACTGCACCTGTCCTGGCTGTAACAGGAACAAATCTGGCTGCGGTTTGCCTCAAGGGCTTTAAACCATACTTTGATACTACTACTACAGCACAGGAATGATCCTATTACAGTGAAGAGATTACTTGATATGCCTGCTGCTGCCAGCTATCGCAACTGTAATGACCCAGATTCCTTACGAACAGCCACCAGACACATTAGTTGCAGCCACACACACCTGTTTGCTCTCCTATAACTAACTGCCTACATATGCAAGGAGTTTTTCACCTAGTTACTCAGGCAGGTTAGTCAGAGGTTTCTATTCCACCAGCAATCTGAGCTGGGGAAACAAAGCTGTTAGAGGATTCCCCCATCCCTGCACTTGACGGTAATTGCTTTACGTAAGGGAGAAGCAGGCACAGGCCAGGCACCTGCAAAGAAGGGCAGCCTGGAGGAGGGGGGAGCACAAGAGCCTTTCACACGGTGACATTTTTCCCCGTGTTTGTTTCAGCCTTTGACATACCAGAAGAGCTTGCTCACGTCCGATTAGTGACCTCCTTGTAGAGAGGCATGTCACGCTTGACACACCACCCCCTGGGAAACCTGGCCTGCCCTTGTGCAGCAAAACTGAGGGGAAGAGCATGAGGTTGCTTAGTCCGAGGGGCTCAGCAACCAAACGTGTTTCCAGAGGAGCTCTGACAAAATGAGATGCCTTGCAAAATACCGGATACTGTTTTACTACCAGAAGATGCAGATGGAAGAGATGGAAGAAAGGTGGAAGAAAACACCTCAGTTCTGCTTATTCATTCTGGTGAAGGTCTTTACCATTCTTTTCTGCATTTTCTGAACAATCCTGCCTTCAAGACCTAGGACACACCTAGGTGTACTGAGATACCTGCTCCCACTGAATGCAGTAAGTGCTCAGTGCGTAGGCTCCCTAGAGAGCGCACAAGGATCCAAACCAGCACACTCGTCTCAGTGCTCACAACCACTTTCAGCTAGGGGATGGGAGAGGCTGAACACGGATGTGTCAGTGGGTGACACGCAAAAATAATCCTCCAAACAGACGTAGGCCTTTCCCCTCCCAGGTAAGTGCTTTTACCATTCATCTATGGAGCCAAGCTCGCTCCTGTGAACATAAGGGTTTTGGTCCCAGGAACATCGCGTGTCCTTCTGCACAGCAGCCCAGCTTCAGCTGCAGGAGGGAGAAGGAAAGTCTCCGCTCACTCCAAACACCCTCTGCTTCAGTAGTTACATCGCTCTGCTGGGAAGCAGAAGATGAATTGCCTAAGGAGGCAGAGAGCTGAACCTGGGTGATTAATTTCCATTGAAAGCACACTGATCTCGAGGCCGGCAGTTTTGCAAAGAGGTCTGTGGAGACCTGCCTAAGGAACAGCGTAGAAATAC